CAAAACGTGTCTGTTTTTTTATTATATTTGTCTTATTTGATTTTATTGTATTCATCCACTCTGGGTAACTTCACAAAGGGGTAGGTAGAACTCTGACTTTGTTTTGCTACAACAGTTTGTATGTTGGGTTCCACCCCCATAGTACCCTGTAGTGTTTATACATATGATTTGTTTTAAAATATATAGAGTTTTTACAATAAATATATATTTTTTACACTTATACTGGAGTCTCATCTGCATCTTCTGCCTGCATCAGTTGGATCTCTAGCCAGTATTGGCACCTGTGAACCTGATATACAGAGCCTGGTACGGCTTTGGAGAATGTGAGTGGGAGTTCAACTTTTGTTTATCACTCCATGTTATTATACAGTTCACACTATGTTGTTTTATATTTTTCTAATGTTCTAGATAACATTCCAACCAAGTTCATCATTAGTAATACTATTTGATTCATTAGAGTCACACTGGGGAGTTGTATACACTGGTATATATTGTTCCTTCCCTAGTTGTCGGCTAAACTGGTTTGTCTTTTTTGCTTAATCTCTTAATCTCTTAGTCAGTAATATTAGAGCTTTAGATTTTACTCCTAATGGAATTGAATGTAATATCTCAAAAAGAAGGAAAACTGCTTTTAGTTCTGTCCCAAGTTATGTTCAGAAAATTGCCTTAAAGAATATGAAACTAGGACTTCTGCATTTCATTCTTCCAGTCTGGTGGTGATCCTCTGTACATCTCTTTTCATAAACCACACAAACCTGTATCCTGAACCTTGTTAGCACAATGGTTCTGATGGATATTAAATGTAACTGGTGTGATTATTGCAATTTATGGAGCACATTCAGCAAGTGGAGCCATGGCATCAACGTTTTTTTCTACAGAGGCTGTTTAGAAGATATAAAGAAATCAGCAGACTGGTCCCAAGAATCAACATGCAAAGAGTTTTATTTCCAACGTATTGTACATGTTGCTTCAACAGTTATTACTAAGCTTTAAACGAGCTTACACTACAGGGCCATTGAATGCGTCAATCTGATTGGTTGACGAACATTCTAAGGTGTGAATTATTTTCAGGGAGACGCACGGCTAGTTCCAGACAGGTCTCGACCGCATTACATTTGCGTAAGAAATTAGTCATACATACAAGAGCATTTTAATGACAAAAACTTGACAGACGTCTTGAAATACGTCATCTGAACAATGTTTTGAGGTGTGGTAACTGTAGTATAAGCGGAATAATTGACTCCAGGCCATTGAATTATTAGAAAAAAAATAATGCACACCCGAGGGGCTGTAGTGGAAAGATAAGGGCTCTAATGGGCAACAGGGTCTCTAATGGGGGGATAGGCGCTGTAGAGTGGTTATAGGGGTTCTAATTGCAGATAGAGACTGTAGTGTTGGGTGATTGTGGGGGGCTAGGGGCTGTAGTGGGGTAGTTTTTAGGTCCCCAGCTCCCCTTTCCTCCCGTTAAATAGTTATTATATTCATGTTTTTGACCTAAATTAGAGTGGGTGCACGCTTTTTTTTAGGTCCACCTATCGTAAGGATGGAAAAAAGGTAGATCCCCATCTTTCGTACAACTACAATAATACTTTTCCCAACCTTGCAGAGTTGTACTTAGCTCCGAGCAGTGTTTGTATGTTTGACTGTAAGCATATTTTGAATGGAGTATGTGTGTGTGAATGTAGGGGTGTACTTGTGTGTACTGTTTGCCTTTGAATGTAGGGGTGTGTTTGTATGTAGTGTTGATATTGGAATGCAGGGGTGTATTTGCTTATACAGATACACAGGTGCAGACTCACAGATACATACACACACCAACACATATACAGATACACAGACACACACATTGACATACAAATTTACAGACACACTCTAACACACATACAGATATACAGATACACAGACACACACTAACATGCATAATGATACACACACACACACACACACACTAACATGCATACAGATACACAAACACACTAATACGGATACACAGACACACACTAACATACATGCAGATACATAGACACACACTAAGACATACACACTAACATACATGCAGATATACACACACTAACATACAGATACACAGACACACACTAACATACATGCAGATACAGACACACATTTACACATACACATTAACATACATACAGATATACGCACACACCAACATACACACTAACATACATGCAGATACACAGACATCCACTAACACATACACACTAACATACATACAGATAAACAGACACACACTAATACATACAGATAACATGCATACACAGATCACATTACATATTTTAACCACCCCCCTGCTTACATACCTTTTTGGTTCCGGAGGGTGGCTTCCCTGGTGTCAAGTGGCATCTGGCTGAGTGTGATGGGAGTCTGGCTCTTTCCTCAGGTCCTGCCTCTTACTCTCCCTCCTCTCTAGGCCATGTTGCCTGACCGGGCTTCTGATCATTGAAGCATTTACTCTTCAATAATGGGTGGCCTGTGCAGGCAGTGCATATCGATGCGCGTGCATGACGTCGATGTTGCAAGGTGGAAAAAATTTGACACCAAGTGTTTACACCTTAGAGCCAAAGCATTACAGGGCTCTATATAAGTGCTTGAAATTATTATTAAGTGTTCTTGCATAGCAAGACCACTTAATGTTATCTCACATATATATTATTATTATTATTATTATTCTTATTATTATAGCAAAATTTGCCACCCTAACTCCTCCCACAAAGCTGACAAAAGCTGAAAAATCAGGACATGATTTCTAAACTGCCACCACTCCCTTATTTCCAGGCCCACTTACACAAATCTTATATTAAAACGTTCAGCTATCCCTGCTGCCACTAAACATGTCCATGGCTAAGCCATAGTCCTGATAGTTTTCACAATATAATCATTTGTTTGCAACTAACGCCGTCCATTGACTTTCATTGAAACTTCACTCTGCAAAGCTCAAATTTGAAGTGCAATTTCTAAACTGCGACTGTGCCTTCAATTTTAATACTTCAGAGACATACTATGCATCAAATGTAGGTCTGGGTCTTGTGATTCTCACAATATAAAGCTCTTCACTGTAGGAGTTATAGTTTTAAGATACGACCGTTTGAAGATGGCAACCACCAAAATACTCTGACCTGTGTCAAGCTGCAGCAGCAAGTGATGTCATAGACAGGGCCTTTTGAACACCTGCTAATGTTTTTATAAATGTATGGTTTAATGTAACTGTGCAACAATGTTGCAATTAAATGTGCTATGTAAATGATAAGTTACTCCGCCCACTCCAGTTGTAGACTACAGGTGGAGGCAAGAACACTTCACACAATTTCCCAGAAATTGTAACTTTTCTAGTTATTATTATTCTTATTATAGCAAAATTTGCCACCCTAACTCCTCCCACAGTTTTTACACTACATAGACAAAAATTTACCAAAACGTGCAGATTGTTCCCGATCGGATTGCTATTACTTTGTGGAACGTTTCGCCGAATGGTTCACGGAATATCGTCATTCTTGTGACGAAATTTGTCCCATAGGAATGAATGGCAAAGCTAGAGTGGGAGCTGGCAAAAGCTGAAAAATCAGGACATGATTTCTAAACTGCCACCACTCCCTTATTTTCAGGCCCACTTACACAAATCTTATATCAAAACGTTCAGCTATCCCTCCTGCCACTAAACATGTCAACGGCTAAGCCGTAGTCCTGATAGTTTTCACAATATGACCATTTGTTTGCAATGAACGCCGTCCATTGACATTCATTGAAACTCCACTCTAGCCACCAAAAATTTGAAGGGCAATATTTAAACTGCGACTGTGCCTTAATTTTTTATATTTTATAGACATACTATGCATCAAAATGTAGGTCTGGGTCTTGTGATTCTCACAATATAATGCTATAGGGAGTGGGGTAAAGTGACAGTAACAGAGGGATTGAGGGCCCTGCTCAGTGAGTTTACATGTTAGAGGGAGTGGGGTATAGTGACACAGTAACAGAGGGATTGAGGGCCCTGCTCAGTGAGCTTACATGTTAGAGGGAGTGGGGTATAATGACAGTAACAGAGGGATTGAGGGCCTGCTCAGTGAGCTTACATGTTAGAGGGAGTGGGTATAGTGACACAGTAACAGAGTGATTGAGGCCCTGCTCAGTGAGTTTACATGTTAGAGGGAGTGGGGTATAGTGACACAGTAACAGAGGGATTGAGGGCCTGCTCAGTGAGTTTACATGTTAGAGGGAGTGGGGTATAGTGACAGTAACAGAGGGATTGGAGGCCTGCTCAGTGAGTTTACATGTTAGAGGGAGTGGGGTATAGTGACACAGTAACAGAGGGGTTGAGGGCCCTGCTCAATGAGTACATGCTAGAGTGAGTGGGGTATAGTGACACAGTAACAGACGGATTGAGGGCCTGCTCAGTGAGTTTACATTGAGGCCCTGCTCAGTGAGCTTACATGTTGAGGGAGGGGGGTATAGTGACACAGTAACAGAGGGATTAGGGGCCCTGCTCAGGTGAGTTTACATGTTGCAGAGTGGGGTATAGTGACGGTAACAGGAGGGATTGAGGGGCCCTGCTCAGTGAGTTTACATGTTGGGGAGGTGGGGGTATAGTGAGTAACAGAGGAGTTGAGGGGCCTGCTCAGTGAGTTTACATGCTAGAGGGGTGGGGTATAGTGACACAGTAACAGAGGGATTCAGGCCCTGCTCAGTGAGCTTACATGTTAGAGGGAGTGGGGTATAGTGACACAGTAACAGAGGGATTGAGGGTACTGCTCAGTGAGCTTACATGTTAGAGGGAGTGGGTTATAGTGACACAGTAACAGAGGGATTGAGGGCCCTGCTCAGTGAGTTTACATGTTAAAGGGAGTGGGGTATAGTGAAAAAGTAACAGAGGTATGGAGGGCCCTGCTCAGTGAGTTTACATGTTAGAGGGAGTGGGGTATAGTGGCACAGTAACAGAGGGATTGAGGCCCTGCTCAGTGAGCTTACATGCTAGAGGAAGTGGGGTATAGTGACACAGTAACAGAGGGATTGAGGGCCTGCTCAGTGAGTTTACATGTTAGAGGGAGTGGGGTATAGTGACACAGTAACAGAGGGATTGAGGCCCTGCTCAGTGAGTTTACATGTTAGAGGGAGTGGGGTATAGTGACACAGTAACAGAGGGATTGAGGGCCCTGCTCAGTGAGTTTACATGTTAGAGGGAGTGGGGTATAGTGACACAGTAACAGAGGGATTGAGGGCCTGCTCAGTGAGTTTACATGTTAGAGGGAGTGGGGTATAGTGACACAGTAACAGAGGGATTGAGGCCCTGCTCAGTGAGTTTACATGTTAGAGGGAGTGGGGTATAGTGACACAGTAACAGAGGGATTGAGGGCCCTGCTCAGTGAGTTTACATGCTAGAGGGAGTGGGGTATAGTGACACAGTAACAGAGGGATTGAGGGCCTGCTCAGTGAGCTTACATGTTAGAGGGAGTGGGGTATAGTGACAGTAACAGAGGGATTGAGGGCCTGCTCAGTGAGTTTACATGTTAGAGGGAGTGGGGTATAGTGACACAGTAACAGAGGGATTGAGGGCCCTGCTCAGTGAGTTTACATGTTAGAGGGAGTGGGGTATAATGACACAGTAACAGAGGGATTGAGGGCCCGCTCAGTGAGTTTACATGTTAGAGGGAGTGGGGTATAGTGACACAGTAACAGAGGGATTGAGGGCTCTGCTCAGTGAGTTTACATGTTAGAGGGAGTGGGGTATAGTGACAGTAACAGAGGGATTGGGGGCCCTGCTCAGTGAGTTTACATGCTAGAGGGAGTGGGGTATAGTGACACAGTAACAGAGGGATTGAGGGCCTGCTCAGTGAGCTTACATGTTAGAGGGAGTGGGGTATAGTGACAGTAACAGAGGGATTGAGGGCCCTGCTCAGTGAGTTTACATGCTAGGGGGAATGTTCTTCCAAAATTCTTTTGGTTCGATGAAAAGTTTGTTCAAATATACCAACTGCCTGGTCTTTGGATTTTTTTTCTAAAGCTCTTCAGATTGTTGAGGTGCCGAACTAATGCAATTTGCACATATTAATGCCTGATTAACCACTTGTATAAATCGCCTTACCTGACTGTGTGCAGTAAAAGCTAACCTAGTCCGTGTGAGATTTTCGTTTTATGCCGAATCAAATTATGGAAGCAGTTGTATTTCCAAATTGGTGCAACATGAAAAATAAACCAAATGTATCTGTATCTAATCGATATGGCTAACAAGGGACCTCAGAATTACGAATGCTAATAATTCTTCTTTTTTGTTTAGTTTTA